CAAACAACGCCAGTTCCACCAGGACAAACAACGCCAGTTCCACCAGGACAAACAACACCAGTTCCACCAGGACAAACAACGCCAGTTCCACCAGGACAAACAACGCCAGTTCCACCAGGACACACAACATCAGTTCCGCCAGGACAAACAAATACACCTGGAGGTATTCTTGTAGTATCTCTGATAGTAAACTTTTGACTCTTATTTTTCAATACGATAAAAAGGAAAATAGTTCGGTTGAAAGATAAAATAGAAATACTGCTATTTCAAATCATGCTACATACCTTACAAATAACCAAATGGTTTTCTTAGATGAATTTAGGTTTATTATGAGAAATCTATTTATAAAACATCTTCTCGAGATGCATAAATTGTCACTTTGACGAGAATAAGCTTTAAATTACAATAAAAACAATTTTTGACTTAATCTTTTCTTGACTTCAGTTGTGAATAATAAACTATTAAATTTGAATCATTTAAAAAAGTGCTTTATCTATGAGTAATCATTATCAAACCAATCTCTGTTTGACTTTGAGGCACAAACAAAGAAAATATGAATCAAGAATTCTCTAAAGATTCATATGATAATGAATCTCCTTCGTTAACATATTTTGTTCAATGAAAGGGATAGTTATCAATGTTGTCGAGAAAAAATTCATTGAATTGATTTAATCATTTGTTTAACTTTTCAGGAAGATTTCCTAAAAATAAAATGACCAAGTTTTTTCTAATATTCAATTTTCAATCGAATAAATACTCGAATACAAAAGTCACATAATCAAAATTTTATTTTAGCTGGTATAACATGTGCTGACAATCCATGTAGAAATAGTCGTCCATGCTATAATAATGGAAATTCATACTATTGCTTTTGTGGTACACAATATCGTGGTCCAAACTGTGAAGAACCCGTTAATGGATAATATTTATGCTATATCGAAATCCAGTGGCAAAACACTTATTTCTACATTAAGTTTTGTCATTTGTTTAATACTTAAATAAATTGCATTGAAGCATAAAACTCTTTTATATTTATTTTTCTTTCTATCTGAGCAAGATAGTTAATTGATTGATTCCATCTTTCTGTTGAATTAAAAAACAAAAACTTTTCAAAGAGCGGCTATTAATAAGAACCATGCAACAATCTACTAGCACTCACATTCGTGACGAACATTGAGATGACTATAACAGAATATCTACTTCGATATCCTGGCTCTACATCTTCCTCAATGAGTTAATGATTTCAAATGATTAGTTGAAATAGAAGAAAACTGAAAGCACATTAATACCAACTTAATATTTCACTAACATCTGCTAACACCTGTAGAACAATATCTAAACTTTTTCTCTTCCATAACTGAATTTTTACGATGGAATCATTCTAAGTCAATAATGACTTTTGAATTTGGACTCTGTACATAAAGTAGATTCTGGTACGGTATAACAAAACTGGGACAGGATAGGACTCTTGAACCGCCTCTAAAGAGTTATTGCCAATTTACTGTAATTGTAGTCTATGAAGCGATACTTCAACCGGCAATTTTGGCCATAGATAGATCTACTTATGACTAGAATCTCCTAAAACTTCCCACTTGAAAGAATATTTCCGTCACAAGATATTGAATTTCGCAAAAACCATGATATAATCATGTCTTTCATCAAATATGAGTGATTTTTGGGAATTCAATATCTAAAGAAGGAAAACTTTTATTCAACAAGCAGGTTTTTGTATGGAAAAAAATTCAGGTTAAAGTATAATCAATTGATTTGTTGGTATGTACCAAAGATCAAAATGAGTAAGAAAATCTAGATTCTATTCTATTCAATTCCATTAGTATTGAGAAAAAGAGAATTCTTTTCTTGTCATGAGTGAACTGTACTTATATCCCGCATAAAATTTGATTTAACTTTTCATGTGTCTGTAGCCTAAACTTATTGATTTAGAAAAACCTGGCAGCTGTCAAGAGAAGCTATAGTACATATTAGGGCTTGGTTTTAGTAAAAGAAATGTTTTTTTTTCTTATCGGTCAGTAAAACTAATAGCTTTTGAATTAGCATAATTAACGATGCTATAGATATCATCTGCTTGGAGGAAGATGCAAATATCAGGAAAATGAGCATACGACTTCTAATATCAGTCAAAGTCTCTTATTAAGTTTAAGTAGTTTTTTTTCGCAAGAGAAATGTTTTCTTTTCTAAAAAAGTATATCTTTCATGAAAAAAGTTTTTTCTGCACAAAACATCGTTTTTTCCATGTACATTTCGGCTTTTATGAAAAAAGTACTTTTTGAAAAAAAGAAAAAAACCTTTTTCGGAAAAATTTGCTGTAACTTAAACTTTATGGTAGAGATGAAATGCTATTCCTATTCAGAGCAATGTTCGACTGTTCCTTTTCATTCTCATAGAAATTTATGCCCCATCATTGTTGCTTGCAAGTGTTTGGAGAATTTTAGACGCTCTTGATCTAGTTTTCAATTCAATGATACATTGAGCTACACTTTTTCTGGCAAGAAGTAATATATGTCATGCTTAGAAAATTTCAGCAATCGATAGACGGGAATATTAAAGTTTTGTTGGGTGTGACTATGGTGATGGGTGTAGGTAAATGGATCAAAACACCCACACCCCTTTTAGTTTAGATAATGAAAGATTGAGCTCGTAAAAGTCGTGTTACATAGTACGTCAAACAGAGAATCTCATGAAGTCTAGACAGTTAACGAAATAAAATTCGAGTTTTACAATAGATGATTCTATTTTATCTACATTACACAAAGACAGAAAACCAGAAAATATTTTGCAATATTGAGAAAGCAGTGTATATCTTAAACGAGGGTACGAGTGTGAGTGTAGATGTGAATGTTGATCTTCTCTTCATCCGCACTCACACCTCGATTTAAACTCATATTCAATATATTTTCTTCGAAAGAAATTGTATGAATTCCACAAAATGTAAGAATTGTAGAAAATACATTACAACCATGAACTCAGTCTTCTTTTGTCTTGCAGTGTATTTCCATTCATTCCTAATCTTACTGGTTTATGACAAAAAATGACTCATTTCCTCTCTGAAAGTTTGTAGAATGTTATTAGAAACATTCCCATAATTCAATTAGACTTTTCTTGTTTTATTTTTGAATGAGTTTCTTTGAAACGCATTGTTTATTCTGCTATAATAGTGAATATTGAGATACATCAGAGTCAGTTTGAAATATTTACGAATTCAGGCATAATTCTTTGTCGTTTTAGAAAAAAAAATATGCAATTAGTTTGACGAATCGTGGTATTACAAGTTTTAAAATTGTCACAATACCACCAACTAAACCAAATACAATTGTTACAATATAAATAATGCTATTTTTTGTTGCAAAACCATAGGTACATCGTACTGGTTGACAAGCATTATAATAATTTTCATACATTGTTGATAAATTCCATTGTTCAATCATTAATTCATTAACAAGTTCTTGTATTGTTGAATTTTCAAAAAAACGACTTGGCAAAGATGAATCAAGTACTGTCATATTCATAGGAAAATCGTATATCAAATATGATTGTAATTGATCGATACATTTTTGTTTGTAAAAACACTCGAGAGTTGATTGTAATAATGATTCGATTATAAAACATCCCTTATAAATACCTGGTATTGAGAATAATTTAGTGGTACCCGTACTGTCATATATGGCTGATTGTTCCATACATGTCATTGATACATCACATCGACAATTTGAATAATATTGAGGATAGGGTGCTAAAATTTCCATCTTAGGTAGCCTAGGAGAAAATGTTGGATATAAATCATAATTTGTCCAACGTCCTGAGAAAAAAGCATTAGTTTGAGTTGTATTTCGTATAATTTGTAATGATAATAATAAGTCATTTGTTGTCAAAGAAATAAACTGTTTAAATATTGATTGCATTTGTAAATGAAACATTTGTGATGAAGTCACCGTTGTACTAATATATTGATTTGAATAGAATCGATCTAAACTTGTAAATACTGTTCTATTTGTTAATGCACAAAATGTACTTAGAGCTTGAAATAAGAATTTACGTGATGCTCGAAAATCACGAAAATATAATGTTATATTTGACAGAGATGATGTTAGATGTTCTCTCCAAATATCGGTTATATAAAGACTATTACATACTTGATGAAATGTATAATTGACATAAAGAAATTTTTTATATTCAATAGATATTGTTGTACATGGACATGTTAAAGTTTGAGAATGAATTAAATATAATTGAGAATATGTTTTGAATGAAGGTGCATGGATATTAACAGTTTTTGTGACATTAACTAACGAAGTATGTATGATGAGAGTAGTTGTTGAGAGAAATAAAAGTAAAATAAATAATCTTGTTGCTATTCGTTCATTTCGAAGATCAAACTCACGTGTTGAAGGTGGCATTGATGAAAATAAATTTAAGTTTCGACAAAAATTTGCTGATTTTTGACATAATCCAATAGTAGGTTGATCAATGTTGTTTTCTGTAATAAATAAATGAAAAGACAAATTACACTAAATCCCAGTGTCTTTTTCTTTCGTTTTCTTATGATTAAAAAAGTGCGTTTTTAAGATTGTATCAATGATCTTTTGTTGAGTAGAGAATAAGGAAATCAGAACGCTTGAGTACTTTAAATCAATTGATTTTTTTTTGATGACTAGACGATTTGGAGAGCCTCATATCTCAGAAAACAAAAGTGCACATATCGCCAAAATTTAACAGCTGGTAAAATACATAACAACCTATCATAACATGTATAGTTTGTTTGGATAGGTAAAAGTGAACATTCTTTGGTTGATATTTTCATAGTAAAAAAGAACATATTTGAAATCAATATCGACCTATATGAATTTCAAAATGTTCAGACAACTTTTATTTTTGTCGACAAATTTAATCCTGGTCCTCCTCAGAGTTCAACCAAAAAATTAAGTCAATCATAATGGCATTTCTAATGTATAATCATCTGTGCTCTATTATCATATTTACAAGATCAGAACTTGCTTTTATCTATTCACATGAGATTTTTATTGAGCCTTTGCAGGAGAAGACTATGGCTATACATTTTAACAAGCAATAAAGATGCTAAAAGTTCGAAGTTATGATTTATTTGAAGATATTGACATGGAAAGCAATTCGATGAGATCTTAACAGATTAGCATACTTAAGAATAACCCTGATTATCATGCTTAGATATGATATGACTTTTATTGTTATTGATTCATTTAACTATAAATTGAATATGACATGAAAATTTGAAAACTGATTCTGCTTGGTAAAACTTATCAGATGTCAGATAATACCGGATCCAAATACGAAGGAATGTAGTCATACAGAATGCTACTATGCTCTATTTATGAATTCATTTTTATCTATTCATCAAACTTCAAGGACTTCCTACGAACTGTTTCGCTCAAAGCCTCTATTAGGGTACTTTCAGGAATTTTGCTAAGAAGAATTAAATAACGTTATTAACGTTGATAGTATGAACTGAAGACCTTTTGACTTCTTAAGAAGACTCAATTTTTCAAAAAAAAACATTATAATTAAGTGTTTGTCGTACGATGATGTATCGAACCCTCGTAGTTCCGAATATGCATGACTTTTCGCACAATTAAGATAAGGATCATGTTTATATGTCATCTTCAATACTAAATACGCTAATTTCATACAGATAATCTGTGGTGAAATTTATTTATAAAAATTATACTTTATGCATAAGAAGTCATTCAAGAAAGACAAATATCAAGAAAAAAGAGAAATAAACATGAGTTTTTTTTTAAATAAATAGTTTGATGTTTCTTTTCATAAATTTATATGCAAAAAAAATCAATCTCTGAATATATTTACTGTGTTTCTCGAAATATTGTTTTTAGTTAGTTACCAAAGTTGAAGCTTTTTTCACATAGTTGAAGATATAACCCATGTATTACTTAGTTTTGAAGTTCGCAATGAAAATAACTTTTTTTATTCGACGGCATCTATGATATTTAGTGCCACTTCTCTAAGCCTTTCAGTAACAGCACATTGGTAATTGTTCTGAAAGTCATTAATAAGCTATAACTAAGTCAAAAACTCCGATCTAGCTCGACGTATCGAACTGAAAGTTTTACGAAGAACTATTCTAACAATAGACACGTTTACGCTTGAAAATCTTAACATAAATGGCTCTTGTTAATTAGAAAATGTATGCATGGAGAGAATGGGGGCAAGACTTATATAAAGATCATACAGTATATATCTATCGACAAAAAATGGAACTTCAAGACGTAAGATTCAAATTGGTTATATTTCAGTTATTTTAGATAATCTTACCTAGTCTTATCATTGGTAATCTTTTATTTCTTCTAACAAGTTTAACTAATAATGGTACAATAAATTTCAGAATTGTTACCATACCACCAGCTAGACCAAACAATGTAGTAACAATATAAATTAGATCATTTCTTGTTGTATAACTATAGCTACATTGTATTGGTTGACATGCATTATAATAACTTTCATACATCATAGATAAATTCCATTGTTCAATCATCAATTTATTCATTAGTTCTTGTATTGTTGAATTTTTATAAAAACGACTTGGTAAAGATGAATCTAATGCTGTTACATTCATAAAAGGAAAATGTGTTAAATATGTTTGTAATTGATTGATACATGTTTGATTATAAAAACATTCAAGATTTGATTGTAATAATGCTTCGATTGCAAAACATCCTAAATAGAGACCTGGTATTGAAAATAGCAAAGTTCCATCCGAATATCTGTAAATAGATGATTGTCGAATACATTTAGCTGAATGATCACAACTACAACGAAAATAATCACGAACCATTAAAAGTAAATTGTTAAAGTTGATTTGTTTATATAAACTATATTGTACACCTGCTATACTCCATAAACCATTTGCTTGATTTGTATCACGTATAATTTGTAATGATAATAATAAATCTTTTGTTGTTGAAGAAATAAATTGTTCAAACATAGATTGTATTTGTGATTGAAATAATTGTTTAGATGTTATTGTAGCACTGATATATTGAGTTAAATAGAATCGATTTAAACTTTCAGATATTGTTTTGTTTATTAATTTACAAAATGAATTAAGAGCTCGAAATATATTTGTACCAGTCCAACGAAAATCATCCATAGCAAGAATTTCATTACCAGAACGTCCATCAATGTAATTTATCCAATTATCAGTAATATAAATACTATTACATATTTGATGAAATTTATATTTGATATGAAGAAAATTTTGGTAATTAATTGATATTGTTTTACATGGGCATGTTAAAGTTTTAAAATGTGTAAATGATAGTCGTGAATATTTTTTAAGCGTAGGTGCTTTTATTTTTACAATCTTTGTAATATTTATTAGAGAAATATATCCAAAGAGAATTATTGTTAAAAGAATGAAAAGAATAATAAATACTCTTGTTGATATTTGCTCATTTTGAAGATTGAATTCATTGGTAGAAGGCGGTACAGATTGAAACATGTTCAACGAGAGTAGTTTGTTTCTAAACTTGGAAAATAATGAAAGATTCCGTTGTTGACGATTAATTTCTTAAAAGAAAAGAATAAAGAAATTCAAAGACATAGTTCAATTGCCAAATTTTCACAAGATAATAAATAACAAAATTTAGCATTGTAATAACATGTAATACGAGAACATCGATGAACGATGCAATATATATAGTCGAAAAAATCTTGGTGCCCATCAGATAAAGCAAAAGAGACTCATAAACTCTGTTACAGAAGAGATAGAATCAACTTCTTAAATAAATCACAATAACACTTAATGAATCTTTTGAAGCAATGGAGATTGGTTATAATATGTATATAATATTCTCCGTTCTCAAAATAATGATAAAACCTAGTTTATCAATCAGGCCTCTAATTAAATCTAAGACTCATCTTACCCGTTCCTTGAGTTCGTAATTTTTTATTTCTTCTTACAAGTTTAACTAATAGTGGTACAAGAAATTTTAATATTGTTAACATTCCTCCAACTAAACCAAATAATGTAGTCATAATATAAATTAGATCATTTCTCGTTGCATAACTATAGGTGCATCGTATTGGTTGACATGCATGATAATAATTTTCATACATCGTTGATAAATTCCATTGTTCAATCATTAATTCATTAACAAGTTCTTGTATTGTTGAGTTTTCAAGAAAACGGCTTGGCAAAGATGAATCAAGTACTATTATATTCATAGATAAATTAGATACCAAATATGATTGTAATAGAGTTATACATGTTTGATTATAAAAACATTCGAGAGTTGATTGTAATAATGATTCGATTACAAAACATCCTAAGTAGAGACCTGGTATTGAGAATAACATGGTTAAATTAGGATAACTATAAATAGCTGCTTGTTGAATGCATTTAGCTGAATAGCCACAATCACAACCATCATAAGCTAATGGTACTACACTTGCAAATGTAGATCCGGGTGCAAAGTACAATAAAATATTGGTTTGTTTGGCTGAGAGCAAAGCATTGGCTTGGCTCGTATCTCGTACAATTTCTAATGATAATAAGAAATGATTTGTTGTTGATGATCTAAATTGTTTAATCGCTGATTGTATGTGCGATTTAAATAAGCTTGAAGGTGTTACCATGTTACTAATATACTGATTTAAATAGAATCGATTTAAACTTTCAAATATTGTTTTGTTTGTTAATCCACAAAATGTACTTAGAGCTTGAAATATGTTTGTACCTGCCCATCGAAAATTTGTAGGATCGTACGGTTGATTATCAAAAGATAAAGCAATGTTATTTATCCAATTGTTCATAACATAAATACTACTACATACTTGATGGAATGTATAATTGACATAAAGAAATTTTTTATATTCAATAGATATTGTTGTACATGGACATATTAAAGTTTGAGAATGAATTAAATATAATTGTGAATATGTTTTAAATGAAGGTGCATGGATATTAACAGTTTTTGTAACATTAACTAACGAAGTATGTATGATGAGAGTAGTTGTTGAGAGAAATAAAAGTAAAATAAATATTCGTGTTGATATTCGTTCATTTCGAAGATCAAACTCATTTGTTGAAGGTGGTATTGATGAAAATAAATTTAAGTTTCGACAAAAATTTGTTGATTTTTGACATAATCGACAAACACATGTGAATATATTACACACTTTATTGATATGAGAAAAAAAATAATGAAAGATAGATATTATGAAAAGTAACGTTTGTCGTTGTGACTCGGCTAAAAGCGTAGAGCTGCTCTTCAGTTATTCAATCAAGCACGCTGATGCTCACAAGCTCATTACGCATAACAATGATCATACTAGTACGCTTACTGTAGGCATACACCGTCTCATCATTTGTAGCACATCACAACATCTTTGTCTACATACACCTCACATATAATTTCCAGATCTATCAGCCTTAAAACCTATTTAACTGAAATCAAAGTATCAAAAACACCTCAATGGTCAAATTGCTATCATGAAAGAAAACCTTCATTTCAAACAACTCTTCTCTAAATTCTCACAAATATATGTGAAAATGTGCCTTTACACATGAAAGCATGCTGCTTTTTTTTTTACATAATCTTACCTTTCGTCGAGAGAATATATACTTGGAAAACCACTTAGAATGCAAAAAATCTACGTGTAAATACTAATGCAAAACATCTATCCGAAAATGATTATATACTCCAGCCTATGACGAAATTTATAGTAGCTGTAAAAATACTTGGTATTCGAACCTATCATCAATATCTGAGCAAGTTCTTATAAAGATAGCCTTTTGAAATACTAAGTTCTTCTCCAAATAGAAAATATTTTAATATCATTCGATGCTTAGATAGAATCTAATTTTGTTCTCGATATATTGATACAATTCCGAAGTTTTTAACTAACTGATAAACTAGCTTTTTATGATAAACATTGATTTTCATTTTGATTTTAAATTGAAAAGTTGTTTAACTTTAATGAGTCGAACAAAATCGATCTGTTTCGTTCTTTTTTTTCAACTAACGATCGGTAAGGATTCTTTTTTGTGGGTTATAAATCTATTCATGTTAGGTATGAGTCTGTTACGTATTAGAATGTAACCTAGTGCCATGAAAAACTATGTGGGGGGCAGAAATGCAAAAACTTTCAATGATAATATTTTACCAAAATATAAAGTAAAGCATTTTATTTTATTTAGTCAAATAAAGAATTTTTTTGTTTTGGTTAAAGAAAAATATTGACCTGATTTTGTCTCCCTTTCTTTAAAACAAAAACTGAAACTTCATACGATTATAAAAGAATTTTAAAAAAGTTTTCCATTAACTCAAATAAGAAATGCACAAGTATTTAACATATGTGAGATGGAATTAGCTATAATCTTTGACAATATTGTAAAAATTATCATCAAAAACATCGAAAAGACTTACTCGATATAGCTTTTGTATTCTCAGATATCTGTTGACTTGTTTGCTTGTCAGATGCTTGTTAAAATAAGAAAAGAAAAACCTATGTGGAATAGTCTCTATTCTTTTATTATTCCACGACTCTTTAGATGAAAGCAGATTGTTAGCGTAATTCAACTACGGAAATAGACGAGATGTTGTTCAACTCTTTGAGAACCATCTCTTTTTACAGAAAAAAAAATTGGATTTTCACTTACAAAATCAATTATAGTTGACAACTATTAGTCATAGTTTTTTTCAGACCTAATACAAAAGATAGATGATATTTTGTTGTTTCGAGACACTAGAAACAAAATATGCATCTAGGAAGTATAAAAAACAATCCTTCAATAAGTCTATGAGAAGCAGTTAATGCAAAAAAAGACACTAAAATGTAATAAAGTATGAAATTCCTCAAAACAACTAACAATTCAAAGACTTCCATTACAATCCTACCACATATATCGCGAATCAGTTCTCTTGCTAAATCTTCGACAATTGTGTGCATATACAACAGAAATTTTCTGATGCGTTTTTGTGTTTGCTGCTTATGGCATAAAAAAATGCAAAGGATCTAGCAGTAAATCTAATCATCTGATCAGTCAATGTAGGACGACCAACTGTAGATTTTTTAACAATATACGTTTCTAAGATTGCGCAAATACGTTATAAACGGCTATTTAAAATAATTTTCTCAAACAATTAAGTAAAACTAATTTGTATTATTAGCTGTATCAATCGTATGAATGTAAAAATTATAATCAATTTTTAATGAGTTTTTGAGTTATTGCATTATTCTATTTGGTAAATTTCATTTAACATTCATCAATAATTATCACTATCACGACTTCTATTCTATCATATCATTTCAAGGCTCTTATATTCTCCGGGTGTGGTGAATGTGTGTAGGTATAGACAACTGTGAGTAATATTGGAAATGCCTACTCTCATACACCCTCATTCCGCACCCCCATCCTTGAATGAATCAACCCCTCGTATTTTTTTCTGATAAATCAGAACAGACGGTTAAAATTCACAACAGTTTCCGAACAGATTCGATGAAAAACAACAATTATTTAATAAACCAATTACAATTATCTTATATGGAGCTTTATGATATCATCCGAAAGTTTTTTAGTCTTCGTACTACTACAATAGTCGCTTACAGAGATTTTTATGGTCATCGTTAACAATGGTAGTAATAAACTGGAAAGCTTCGTTTACGATTGCTGTAAATGATCATTGTTAACATTTATCATTTTCTGCCGTAATTGATTGTCCGTGAAATGAAAACTAAGAAAAAGCTGGCGATTTACCACGGTCTTACTGATTTGATTACCGGCTTCTTTACAGCGAAAAGACCGTTGTTTCCTCTGGTTACCCTGGATAAACCGGTGATTTCTTTTTACGGTAGGCTGCGGTTTATCGCTATGAATGATTCAACACTGATGATATGGATGGTATATGACAATTTATGACTGTGCGTGAGTAGTCTAGAAAAGACTAAAATCTCTTCAGTAACAAACAAAATACACTCCTAGAATAACTGAATAAAACAAAATATTAATAAAAGAAAAAAACAATCTCTATTTAAGGAGACGAACGAATTTCTGCATATCTCCTGCCTTTAGTAATATTTATTTATTCACATTCTAGTGCATTACCATCCAACGACCGCTATCTATTCATCACATACAGTATAGGTATGGGTTTTTATGTAGTGGAAAGATGAAAATGAAACTCATGTCTTCTTATATTCTGTCCTTGATTAACTGATTACTCTATTTGATGATACTTATCTCACTATATGGTAACTGCCAGACGAACGATAGAAAAAGTGTTCATTTAGCAGGTGTTCGCTCGAAATTAATTTGTACCCTTTCTGGTTTTTAGATCGAAGCGCCTCGTTCAAAACCATATTTCTTCATAAAAAATTGTCGTTACAATACTTGACTGTCATTATCTTTGCAAAATCATGGACTTTTTTCAAAAGTTTTGCGCTAGCCAAAGAATCTCTATTCTTTGAATGCGTCCTTATAATGAATTTCATGATCGTACTTTGGACATGTGTAGAATCAAGACGTAAACTCACATCCTATACCCAAAATTGAGAAAGAAAAAACATCATCAAAGAAAATTTTCGTTGAAATAAAAGAGCCTTCTTCTTGAATATCATTCACTCATTCTTTCATTCATGATTTTAGTTTGACACTGCATTTAATTCTCAGCACTAAACACAATATGGACTGTAGTGCATCAATGCCAAAAGCTAGTTCTCTCACGCAATCATCACTGTTCTATTCAGTAAGCAAATCTAGCGAAGATTATCATAATTCAATCAAACAGTTGCGATGCACTATTGATACTATTGAAAAATTCCATGATACAGAAGAATGTCGTGATTATATGTCAAAACTTCAAAACGAAAAAGTATTCTTGATCATTTCTGATGCTTTATGTCAAGCTTTTGTATATCAGACGTCCATAACATGGAACAAATGCATTCGAATTATATCTTTTGTCGAAAACAAAAAAAAACTATGAGACATGGACAAAAGAATGGTTTAAGGTAAAAGGTATTTTCAACGAAATTACTTCAATTTGCGACGTAGTTCGATAATCTGCTCGACAATGTGACCAAGATGATATTCAAATTACTGGTGTTTCGTCATTGAACGAAACCAAACCATCATTTATGCCTTCGCAGTTCTTGAAAGAAATTATTCTTGAAATCGATTTCGACGAACTGAAAAAAATTAATGATCTCATCAAGCATGTTCGTAGCCGAAAGGAGTATGTTGACAACAAACAACAATTGGAAATTATTGACGAATTCTCTGTCGACTATCAAAAAAATATCGATAAGAACAAAGCCATTTGGTGGTACAGTCGGCAATGTTTCACGTACCGATCAATGCACAAAGCTCTACGCTCTCTGCAAGTGGACACTATACTCAAAATTGGCTTATTCATTCGTGACTTTCATCGACACATCAAGAAACTTCATCTAGAATAATCGAAAATAATCAATGCATCTGCTACTACTTCTACATTTACCGTCTTCCGAGGTCAAACTATCAGCAAGGAAGATTTTGAAAAGAATATAAAACAAGGCGGGGTCGTATCCTTTAATAATTTTCTATTTAGACAAGTGACAATCGCGATGTTGCCATTAGTTTCATTTCTTTGGCCACTGACAACAAGAGTAGAATCGGTGTTCTGTTCACCATCACAATATTCTCTTCTCAACACATATAATTTTTCGTGTCCTAAAAGTCGAAGAAATACAAGAACACGAAATAATGATACGGCAAGTAAATTGTACACTCACTTGTAACAGTGATAACAAACAACTTGATGCTCGTACCCAACGAATGCGAGAGAAGATCACTAGTTCAGATTGGCAACGAATGGGTTCATTGTTATAAAAACTGCATGAAGAAGACAAAGCGGAACAAATATATAAAATGTTAATCGAACAGGCATCCATTGAGAACGATAAAGCGTATTGTTATCATCAACTTGAAATAATCAAATATCACCAAAGAGAATACATAAAAGTGATCGAGTATCAAGAAAAATCACTGAATATCTACGAGAAAACTACAGGACACGAACAGAGCTTACTGGAAAAATCAGATAATATATCAGTGTGAAACACTGCTTCTACGTTTCATTGATTTCCCGTTTTTTTCCATCCACACAGAATAATTCTTCGAGTCAGCGCTGAAGGTCAAAATCCTTAGCCTGAATAGTTGAAATTTGTACGTAACAATCATCTAGACATGGATGTTTATCAATTAAACGTAATCATGTTCGACTTTCACAAAAACAAAAATTATTATTCTTACGCAATTTGTAATGATTAAATAAATTCGTATTGATAGTAATAAATTATAATCGAAAAAAACTAAAACGTTGAGAACATACAATCATTAATATTTATTTTACAATTATTAATGAGATCTGATATTAATTGTTGGTATCAGTAAGCTTAGCATATGATGGAAAATTCGATTTTCCAACAAAATTATTTTATTTAAAAAAAAATTAATTTTTAACAAAACTTATATCAATAGATGTTAGTATCGGTGCTAATATCTTTTAGCTTGTTTAGTTTGAAGGCCAAAATCCAACTGCTCAAATATTTAATTTTAGATTAGTCCCGTGACGAAAATGATCAGTGAAATTCATGATGATAATAGCAGTTCACCGATTTGTGGACAAGCGAATGTATGAAAATATGATGGCTATTCTTGTACAGGCTACTTTCAAATATTCCAAGATGCTATGTTGAATTTTAATGTATTTCAAGATAGTTCATCTTATGTCTCAGTACTTTCATATCCTTCAATATACTTTGAGGGATTTCGTAGAACCCAGTTTGCATAAAAGTA